CCAAACAACCAGAAAATAATTGATATTGTACAATCTATTTTTGGTAGAAAAATGACAAGTATGTAATAGTAACTTATTCATAAAGATCAAATTTCATGGTATGTCACAAATGTATTCAATGTAATGCAGTTACCATGCCCTCTATATCTGTAGTTGTGTATGTAATGATCATTACAGCTCAAGAAGACAGGAACCTTGTCTGTCTTGCTCATCTATGCCCCCAGGATTGACTACAGTGCCCAGCACATAGTAAGTGCTTGGTGAATATTTGCTGAATGAAATAATTGCTCTGCAAAACCATACAATGCCTTAATCATCTAAGAAAGAGGCCGAGCGCGCTGGCTCATGCCTGTAATCCCAGCACTTTGGGAGGCCGAGGTGGGGAAATCACCTGAGGTCAAGCGTTCGAGACTAGCCTGGCCAACATGATGAAACCCTATTTCTACTAAAAAAATACAAAAAATCAGCCAGGCGTGGTGGCAGGTGCCTGTAATCTCAGCTACTAGGGGGGCTGAGGCAGGAGAATCGCTTGAACCCAGGAGGTGGAGGTTGCAGTGAGCCGAGATCGTGCCATTGCACTCCAGCCTGGGTGACAAGAGTAAGACTCTGTCTCCAAAAAAAAAAAAACAAAAAAAAAACCAAGGGGATAATGCAGATGGCAGATCCTGGGACTTCTCAGCATGATCCAATTCCCATAATAAATCTCAAAAGAAGGGAAAAAAAGAAAGATTATACTATGGTCAGTATAGCTTTCGGCATTAGGTGTATTTATTCTAATTCTTAGAATATTAGTAATGTATACGGTATACCCCAATTAACAAGAACTCATTCTTCACTCATTCTGCATAAGGGCAGGTTTACAATAATCACTATCTATAAGTAAAGGTTATCATTTATGGGATACATACAAAAGTTGTTCTTTCAAAAAATATTTTACTGAACACCTACTAGGGACCAGGCACTGTGCTAGGAGCTAAGAACACACTGTGAACTGTCCCTGTCTAGGATAGCCTTTCTCAATTAGGGTTCCTTAACTCCAGCTATGCAGGAAAATGTTAATTTATTACTAACAATGCATGTCCTAGGGCATCAGTGCCAATTCTCTCCATGTTGTGAAAGACTAGTCTAGGGAGCCATGCAAGTTAAAAGGCAATTATAACACAATATGATTTTTTAGAAAAAGTTGTTTTTAAGTATGGTCAAGTTCAACTGCTAAACCTAGACCTCGATGAACAGCCATGTGGGAGTCAAGATACACAGACCATTTGTAATAGTTGTGCAAATGTAAAAATATTGCAATACATACATACAGATATATTTCCAAACACAGTAAAATAAAATCAGTATTTTCCCGCTCGTCAATGTCAGGCCAGGGTTATTAAAGTGAAACAAACAAAAAAAAAAGTTTAATTATTCTGATAATTTAAAGGGGAAACTAAAAACCTTCTTGCTCCTGGGGGGGAAGGGGGAAAAGCAATTACTTGAACTATTTTCTAAATTGTCTCCATATATTGTTTCATTAGCCTAGCTTTGCCTTGGACTCAAAGCAATAAATTAGTTACCTATTTCATTAATTCTTATTTTGTACTTTTTAGTCATTTTAAATTTCCATTCTTCCTTACGCAGTCTATTTTCTTTCTAATCCTGGGCATTTTCTGTGTGATATTATGACTATATGCTACATGCTTTATGAAACCAAAGCAGTTTAAGGATTTCTAGAATCAGATTTAAATGTACTCCAGTATTTCATATTCATAATTAAGCTTTCATGTACCAAAGGTCTAGAAATACATACCTGTTAACTATCACTCTCTGACAAGCTAAACTGACAGCGTCCTCTTGGCCAAGCCCCCAATCTACTTTATCAAGAAATCTCTTATTTTGAATCTTTAGTATAAAATAATTTAATAAGCCAAAAAGAGGGGGCAATTGTTTTCAGACTTTCAAAAAATCTTTAAGCCCAAGAGAACATGTTACTATAATCACTAGGAATTGCATTAAGAATAAACCAAAACAGGATAACATAAAAGTCCACGACCCTTAAATCTCAACTAGTCCAGACTTCTGATTAAATATGCCTTTGAAGAAAATAAGTTGTACAGACAGAACTATTATTATTTATTTACTGTATTTATGGAGATGTCGACTGAGAACAGACGGTGCTTTTACTGCACTCAGAGACATCTAACTCTTAAATCCTTTAGGACATCCTCTACATGCCTCAACCCTAAAATGCTATACACCAAATCCACCAATTTCTTTCCACCTCAAAACTGTCAAAAGGAAAGTCATAATTCATCAGAAAGAAAGGAACACAGTTATTAATGGCAAAGACGTCAAGACCATGTATTTTAAAAATACAATGAATCACTATTTTCTTTTAGCTTGAAATTGGAAAACTTGAAAAATAAATAGCATTTCAAAAATGATTCAGCAAACACAACTGAGCTATAGATGATGATGCTTGTAAGAATCCTAAGGGATTCTTCCACTTCAGGTTTAAAATATAAAGAAAGCACTTCTCTAATATGTAGTCTAGTCTTCAACAACCAACAACTACAATCAACACCACTGTAATTTATTTCACAATCAAAACCAATTTCAGACACGTACAGGTACACTAAAAACCACAACTGATTTTGAAAGGAATTCATAGCTCTATTTCTAAAATATTAAAACAATCATAAGACAATTCACAACCTTGACTACATCTATACTGCTGTGAAAGTCTCAAAGTTCCAACCAAATCTTTAATTCTAGTCTTCTAGTAATTTAAATGGAAGTACCCCTCAAAGAATTTGTCAGGCAAAAGATGAGAACAGCATATGGTTTACTGATCTAAGAGATGGAAAAATTGCCACCTCCCCCCCAAATTTTGAAGCCGTTTTTTAACAATGAGTATTTGATAGTATTTTTCACATTCAGTCCAACGGTATGCAGATTAATTCCTTGCCCTGGGCCTAGGGCTCTGACACAACTCCTAAGAACCTTTCAGCTTACTGCACAGGTACAAATTCCCGATACTTACCACAGTCATGGCTGCGCAGGAAAATGTGAACAGCTGAACATTCCAGCTGCAACAGTGAGGTCAAAGCTCATTTCAGTATTAGCAAAAGTGATTCTCTGCTGAGATCTTGGTCGGGGATGCAAAGTACTAGCCTCAAACCTGCAGGCTGGCACCTCAACAACTGCTGCAAATTCTACTGCATGCCCTGGCTTCCTGGGCCAGCACTGCTTAATTACTAGACTCTGATACGATGCAGATCACTCTTCGCAAAAGGGAAGCAAATGAGCTTTTAGACCAGTACTTGAGTTGTTCAGTTTCAAATGTTCAAATCCTTAAAAAAAAAAGGGGGGGGATTTCAACAACTTAAGTTTAATGATTTTATTATGATTCAGAGCCTAGTTGTTTTCCACCATAAGAGTGCCATGTGAAAAGATTACCCTTTTCCTAAATACTACAATTACCTTTCACTGCCACCTTTCCCTTTTTGTCACCCCCAAACAACACTCCAAGATCACAAGAATCTATGTGAAACAGAGCTATGAAGAACAATACCCGTTTGCATTCTCAGGCTAAATGTGAGAAACCAATTTTAGTCACTTGCTTCAGCAAAGCTATTAGTACAAGCCGTCACCTACGGATTTCAAGATGATTGATATGTACAACCTCTATTGCTCTATGCCACAGGTAATAATCTGTTCCAATTTCATACTGCATGTTTCTGGGAGAGGTCAACATTTAGAAAACCATTAACTTAGCACTATTGTGATAATATTCTAAAAAGGGATGTACAAGTATTTTAACCTGTGTACATTTGTGAAAGTTTCAAATGAAGGAAAAATGAGAGCAAATTTACCCGATGTATGAAAAATGTTAGCAACGCTTTGATTAGAAATAATTGCATGAATAAAACCAAATCGACGTGTTCTCAAAAGATGTATTTTAAGGCAGGTAGAGGAACTCAGCATTCAACCCTTTTTCCTAACTACAGAAAAATCAAAATTTGCAGATGAACCATTTCTTTCACATCATTGGCAGAAATAAAATCCTATTCCCGCCACCTCCTCTTGCAATTAAGGAAGTTGCTACAAATAGCAGCACAGAACGTAAATGGTCCTGTTTTGCTCCATTCTTAATGTACCCTCTAGGAGTAAACAGGTTACTCAAAAAAGTCAGTAGCCAGAACGCGATTTTCCCTATGGCAAACTCCCTTGAAAATGAAATTCCCCTTTCTGGGGATTTTGAAGGGGGTAACCGTGGACGGAGGAGTCCAGTCGCAGCCCGCCTTCTCCCATAGGTTCAAGGTCTGGAGTGCTCAGTCCTCCGCGAGGCTTCAGACCAGCGATCGGCAGCACGGGCAGTGGCGGCGCAGCCTCCACGCGGCTGCACATCCACCCAGCCCACCCTGACAATCACGCTCGCCTTTCAAACACCCTAAAGGTGAGCTTTGTAGGCTGGGTCTCCAAAGTTTGCCCGGCCTCCGGTCAGCAGCCGCCCGCTGGCTGAGCCCTAGGCAAGGCTGAGTCTTGCCCTAGCCTCCGGCTCCCTCAGCCCCCAGCTCTTATTTTGGGCCACGGTGACAGGTCTAGGTTTACCTCCATGTGCTCGTGGCAGAGGAAACAAAAGAAGGCAACCTCCCTGAGAATAAAACGCCATCTTCGACTAATTGGCAAACTGAGGGGTCCCCAGGTCGGTCTCCCCACGAGTCCCCCACCACCCAGCCCGAGGGCGGCCCCCAGTTTCAGGCAGAGTTTGTAACAGCTCCGGGAAGCCCTGGTCGAATTGTCCTGGGGGCGAGGGTGGGATACCCCGAGAGCCCTACCTGCCTCCCCTCCCCGGCCGCCTGGGCACCGTGTTTCGGTGAAAAGGAAGAAGAGGGGTGGTGGTGTCTCCCAGAGATGTAATTGCCCCCTGAGAAAATTGTTGTGAGGGACCCGGCGAAGGGGCTGGCGAGCAAACAAACCGGCACGCGCGGAGCCGCAGCGAGTATACTTACAAAACGATTCAAGCTCCGGCGGAACATCGCGTCGAAGGCCGCCGGGCGCTGAGCTGGGCTCTCCTGCGCTGTCTGGGAAGGCGCCGTCCACAAAACACACTGCGGCGTGGGCCGGCGGCGCCAAGCGGAGCAGCGAGGCGGGCGGCCGGGCCACCCGCTCGCCGCCTGCTCTCTTCGGCTCTCCTCGCTCCCCCGCCCCCCAGCCGTCCGCAGCCTCGCCGCCGCCCCGCCTCACTCGCGGCCCGCCCCCGGCCTGCCTGACCCGGGGGCGGCAGCCCCGCGGATCGCCCTTATCTGGCCCCGGCACCGCGGGCCGGCAGCTCCCGCAACACCCACTGAGAAGGCGAGCCCGCCGCGCGGGGGAAGGATGGCGGAGGAGCGCGAGGCTCCTCCTGTGGGGAGGGGGGCGCCCCCGTCTCTCCGCCAGCGCCGGGCTCGGCACCCCGCGGGATGCACTCTTCCCCGACGCGGCACCACCGCCCGCCTCCCCGCTGGACTCCGCGGCCGCCCCCCTCGGGGCACGGGGAACCCTCCCGAGGCACCCCACGCCTCACCTCGCCTCAGCCCGACACTACTCCCCTGTCTCTGTCGGGAACCACAGCCTCCCTCGCCCCAGCCCTAACTCGTCCGCCGCGCCGCGCGTGCCGCGCCGCGCTGTTTAGCTCGCAGCCCCTCCTCGGTCCGCGGCTGCCGCGCCGCCCCGCGCTCTCGTCCCGCACTGGGGATAGGGAGCCTCGGTACAGCCAACCGGCCCGCCCCGAGCCAGCCGACGGCCAGGCTCCCCCTTCCGGGCGTGGTGGAGCGGGGCTCCGAGGCAGGGCACCGTGGGGACCCCAGAGCGGGAGGGGCGGGGCAGGGCGAGAGGGGGGACTAGTTCTGAAAGCCCACCCTCCTCATCTCCACGGACGAGGGTTCCCCCTCGACCCTCGCTACGCTGTACTCCCACCTACGCGGCTTTCCCTCCTCTCGCTCTTTCTCTCGTCCTGCCTGCCCACCTAAGCCTTCTTACTTCCACTTTCTCTGAGGTTGTAAAGTCAGGCTTTGTGTCGTCGCTGCTGCGCAGCGGGGCGGGATTTCCCTGACCCCCCTCCCCGCCCCACCCCAGGCCCCTCCCGCTCGCCCCCTCCCCCGCCTTGCTCCCGGGGTAGCCTGGGAGTTGTAGTCCAACCGTCCCCCTACTCCGCCTGGTACCGCGGGCTGGGAGCTCCCCCACACGCTAGTCCCAGGTTTGCCCAGAGGGTTGAAGAAGGAAGCGCGGGCTGAACAGCGGGTTCTCCACGCTGGCCGGCTGGGTGTGGAGGCCGGGTGCACTCGGTAGCTTCCTAGTGGTGGGACATGTGAGAAGGATAAATTAGGCAGAGCTCCGAATCCTGGGAGCTTTCCCTGGAACGCAAAATGTGCGCATCAGGAAACCCTCTCCACCCTCGGCCCCCAGCTTAGTGCTGGAATTTGCGAAACTTTAAAAATTAAAAAAAGAAAGCGAGTCCAGAATTGCCACGAGGCTGGGCATCCCTCCCAACTACCACAACCCCACCCCTTTTCACCGCCCCTTAAGGCGGGGCCCAAGGCTGTTGGAAAACTTGCAGATTCTTCTATAAAAGTCAAAAAGAAATGACTAAAGGGAGTTCAGAGACTCTTACACGAGTCTTCCGCCTCGCCACATTCTCCTGCCAGTCTACAGCTGGGGACAGGGCCCAGCCACACCACAGGCCTTACCAAAGGTCGCAAAAGGCCTTTCCTGCTAGGCATAGGCGCTTCTCCTTTACCCTCCGGAGTCTGGATTCATTTCAACAAACCTTTACTGGGAATTTTCTTTGTACCAGGCACTGTGCCAGGGCTGGACACAGCGATTTCTTAAAAGACTTCCCCAACAGGGTGGTCGCAAGCTGGTTGGGGGATACAAACAAGCGAAAACGCCACGTTAGAATTTAATAATAGCTAGAGTTCAAAGTGCTAGGGAAATAGGGGAGAGCGACATTGCATCTGAAAAGGTGGTCTGGGAAGTTTTCCTAAAAGCTCTGGAAATTAAACTAGCCCTTGAAATGTGGGAAGACTTTAGAGGACCTGACTGAGCCCCAGGGGACAAAGTCCAGGGTAGAGGGAGAGGTCAGTGAAAAAGCGCAGGATAAGCTAAGAAAGAGATCACGCCGTAGTGGCAGACGCCCAGGACGTGTAGGTAAGGGCGGCTCGAACGAAAGCTAAAATCTAAAATTCTTCAAAATCTAAAATTCTTCAAAAACATGTTACGAAGTTTGAACTTCATTCTGTGATCAACCAGAAGCCCACCCCCCAATAAAACGCAAATGCAGACCTAACGTTTGTTGCCAAACTGTCCTAACTGCCAAGAAGTAAAACCAACCGTTTTCAATTCTTCCCCTCTTATGATTCCTTCTCTTTGCTCACAGTTGAGCCTGTACCTAATGATTTTTAAGATTTATGTTAAATTTAAATTTATATTAATCAGATATTACGATATTTTATTGACAAGAGGGATCCAAAGTTTTGCTCTCTACTGTTTTAGAGGTTTATTTTCAAATAGAGTTATTTTCTATCTTTACTTTTTTTTTTTTTTCTTTTTTTGGAGACAGAGTCTCACTCTGTCGCCCAGGCTGGAGTGCAGTGGCGCGATCTTGGCTCACTGCAGCCTCTGCCTCCCGGGTTCAAGTGACTCTCATGCCTCAGTCTCCCGAGTAGCTGAGATTACAGATGCCTGCCACCACGCCCGGCTAATTTTTGTATTTTTAGTAGAGATGGAGTTTCACCATGTTGCCCAGGCTGGTCTCGATCTCCTGACCTCAGGTGATCCAGCCGCCTCGGCAAAGTGCTGGGATTACAGGCGTGAGCCACCACGCCCGGCCTCTAGCTTTACTTTTATTGAACACAGCAACTACTGTAATTTCTTCACTAGTTTATTTGTTGAACGACTACTATGTGGCAGACATTATTCTAGATACTGGAATTGAGAGGTGTAGGAGGTTATTGTCTTTAGTTCTAGGTATAAGTCTAGAATTCTTACCAAAATACATCCTTATCAATAAAATAATAAACTAATTTAGACATTTGGGGATGCAAGTGCTTGCTAGTGAATAGTAAGTAATATCGTTCCAAATTCAATTCTGTTAAATAAATGGAAAAAATATACTTTGCTTATAGATTCAAACAGATCGACTTTAAAAAATATTAGAGACCTGAAATTTTTTTTTTGTTTACATTATGCTCTCATACTTGCCCATTGTCATGTTACTGCAACCTAATCACAGGAATTTTAAGATTCCTCAAGATATAGCAGTATTGGGCCAGGCGCGGTGGCTCCCACCTGTAATCCCAGCACTTTGGGAGGCCGAGGTGGGTGGATCACCTGAGGTCAGGAGTTTGAGACCAGCCTGGCCAACATGGTGAAACCCCCATATTTACTAAAAATACAAAAATTAGCCAGGAGTGGTGGCGGGCACCTGTAGTCCCAGCTACTTGGGAAGCTAAGACAGGAGAATTGAATTGCTTGAACCCGGGAGGTGGAGGTTACAGTGAGCCAAGATCGCACCACTGCACTCCAGCCTGGGTGACAAGAGCAAAACTCCATCCCCAACCCCAGAAAGATATAGCAGTATTGTTGATTTTTATTTGTTATAATTCTGCTATTTATTCTCTCAATTTATTTCAATATAACACCTATACTCATGGGTCCAGTCTAATTTGCTCAACTATAAAAATACAATTCCAGGCATTTTTATGGGATTTTTATTCCAGGCACTTTTATGGGAGGCCAAGGCAGGCAGATCACCTGAGGTCAGGAGTTTGAAACCAGCCTGGCCAACATAGCAAAAACCTGTCTCTACTAAAAATACAAATATTAGCCGGGCGTAGTGGCGCGTGCCTATAATCCCAGCTACTCGGGAGGCTGAGGCAGGAGAATCACTTGAACCTGGGAGGCGGAGGTTGCAGTGAGCCAAGATCGCACCACTACACTCAAGCCTGGGCAACAGAGTGAGACTCCGTCTCAAAAAAAAAAAAAAAAAAAAAAGTGCAATTCCAGGCTGGGCAGGATGGCTCACACCTATTCTCCCAGCACTTTGGGAGGCCGAGGTAGGAGGATCGCTTGAGTCCAGGAGTTTGAGTTCAGCCCAGGCAACATAGCAAGACCTTATCTTTTTTTTTTTTTTTTTTTTAATGCAATTCCATACAAATCAAAATACACTCAGCAAAACATGAAATTATGCAAGGTGACTTTTTCTGTATCCAAACTCAACCTGAAATTAGAGCTACTCTCACACACATCCTTCAGAGTCACTCCTTTGTGAGTTTTTTAAACACAAGAAAAAAGATTTTGGTTCTTTTTAGTGCCTCCTCACAGTTTCCAAAGAAAACCCAGGTGTTGTAGAAAGCTGTTGTCCGTGACTATGTAAAGCAGGCCCTCAGCCAGCATTTTCACTGGGACAACTCCACTGAACAGAACTGCAAAAACGAACTTCCTCCTGCCTAAACTGTCTGAACCCCTGAAACATAACGCCAGCTCTTTTGGTGGATTAGCTAACTGCAACAGAAAGAAGCCCCACAGGTAGGAATTCATAGGAAGCAGTCTTCTTTCTGTCCTTATTACCAGCTCGACTAGATAATGCTTGCTACCTGAGGGAGGGAAGGGAAAGAGTTCTTTCTCAATCCTTTCAATTTTGTTGCACCATTTCTGTACAAATTACTCAGGAGTTCTTCTTCCCTATTGTCCCCACCCCCAGTCTTCCGTACCTTCTACCTCAGCCCCTCAGAAATCTCACCATGGCAGGTGAGCAAAACCACCATTAGAGCATAGGATGTAGACCACACCTGTGACGGAGGAGAGCAAACTGCTTCTGGGATCTGTGGGTCGGTCAGCAATTCAAGTAATCTGGCAGGAGGGGAGCGGTGCGAAGGAGTCACTTCCATCTAATACCAAAAAAAGCAAAAAGAAGAAAGAAAAAATTGAGGCTGTTGTATTAGCATCACAATCACCTCATCATCAGCAAATTAAAAGAATTCAACTGTCTGAGCGTCCAAACATATCTGGTAAGACTATCTTTTGCCCATTTGAAATTTATTTCCCCCTTTCAAGGCTACCCTTGATGTTTATTTATGACCAATTTTACCTGTATCTTTCTATTGGGCCCCTCCAATTCATTCTGTACACTGCAACCACAGAAATCTATGGCAAGCAAGTCAGATCAAATCACTCCCCTGCTTATGACTTTTCAGTAGCTTCCCATCCTCTTAGCAAAAGTTCAAAATCCAGCCTTAACATCACCAACAAGAACCCTGAATTCTCTGACCTCTGCCTTTCCTCTCTAACCTCAGGTGGACAATTTTTCCTCTCACCAGGCTCTACCCCACGGGTCTGCTTACATTCCTTGAGTTCCCAAAGCTCCTTCTTTCTTGACAGCTTTTGCACAGGCAACAGTCTCTGCTGGAACGCTTTCACCCGCCGTTGCTATTCATCCTTCAGCTCTCAGCTTAAATGTCACTTCCTCAGATGACATCAGGGCTCCCTGTTATTGCCCTCCAAATAGCCCATATTAATTACATCCTAGGGTACTGACAGATGAGGTTAGTAATCATGGAGAATGGCAGAAGTCCAAAAGGACTGAGTGATGATCTAATATTGTCTTGTTTTTCAAAAAGAGGAAGAAGGTATATTCTAGTAATCATAATATTGAAGGCAGGTAAGGTTCTATAACAGACCATTAAAAGAATAGTTTTGTTTTTTTAAAAATCACCATGGAAGGGAAGAGGCAATCGCTAGGAGCCACAATAAATTCACTGAGGTGAAGTTTGGCCTTCAAGATTCTATAAAAATTACTTCTTTTTTTTTTTTTTTTTTTTTTTTTTGAGACCAAGTCTCACTGTCTCGCCCGCAGGCTGGAGTGCAGTTGCGCAATTGTGGCTCACTGCAACCTCCACCTCCCGGGTTCAAGCGATTCTCCTGCTTCAGCCTCCGGAGTAGCTGGGATTATAGGTGCCCACCACCACGCCCGGCTAATTTTTGTATTTTTAGTAGAGATGAGCTTTCGCCATGTTGGCCAG